TGTAACAATATGATAGGTAAAAGTCAATAATTATTAGCAGTTTAGTTGACACATTTTTTTACGGTTATAATTGGATTGATGTCAGTGTAGTAATTAAATCTAGAATTTTTTTAATTAATTCACCGTGAGATACAGTGACAAAAATTTCATGTTTGAACTTTGATCATACAGTTACCAAACACCCTTCCCTTCACCAGTGCACATTTTCCACCACCAAAATCCTCAGTATTCCCCCCCCCGCCCCATTCCTCCCCCTGCCTGTGTGGCAGACAATTTGCAAAGTATTCTTTTCCTACTTTAGTTACCTTCAATATTTCAAGACCAGTCATAACTCCCCTCATACCTGCTGAAAATACAATTGCTAGACAATGTGTTTTCTATTGCTTGTTATTGATATAATATAAAGTTGCATGGCCATGAGCTCTAAAGAATTCTAAGATTTTAATAATTAGGGTCTGAAGAAATCTATGCCACAGTTGCTCGGGTCCGAGATTCCTGTGTGTGTCTCTGAATCATGGCCACATGGGAGCTGGTGCTTCTTGCTGGCTTCTAGAAAATGGAGATTGCTGGAGCTCATAGCAGGCAGGCGCTGGGACGGTGCCTACCCCTGTCTGGAGTGGCCCAGTGGAGAAGGCCTATTGCAAAGTCCCGGACCATCTCTGCCACAAGTTGTTCAGGTCCAAGATTTCTGTGTGTGTCTCTAGAATTTTTTTAAAGGATAAAAAAGAAGAAGTATTATTGCTCAATAAACATATTAAAAATGTACCCAATCTCACATTTCTTTCTTTTTTTTTTTTTAGCTCTTTTCCCCTATTTTTTTTTTAATTAGTGAAACACCGTGAGGTACGGTTACAGATTTACATGTTTTCCTGCTTGTGTTTCAGTCATACACTGATCGAGTACCCATCCCTCCACCAGTGTCCACCCTCCACCATGAATGATCCCAGCATCCCTCCCACCTCCCCTCACCCCATCCCTCCCATAGAATTTTTTTGTTGTTATTTCTCTTTTAACTTTTTGAAATCTAGGATTAAGGCTGATATTTGAGATTGTGTATTAAAATCAAAATGTAGTAGTTTTGGTTCAAGGGCAAGAAGCTATTCAAATAAGCAAAAATCAAATGACTGTTTGATTTCCAGTGTCTTAATATAATAACAAGTAATTACAGCACTTGTCAAATGGTCATTCATTAAGTTTCCTTGACTCCAGCCTCTTAAATTGTGGGTCATGACCCTATACAAGGTCATGTAATTGGATGTGAGTTAAGAGAAAACATTTTTAAGTGTTTCAAAATAAATTTCTTTGTGATTTCTTATCAATAAACATTTTAGTTGCATGACTATTTTGTACACCAGGGCATATTTATATACTTGTGTACTAGAGTCATGTCAAAATTTTAGGGATAAAAGTGGCCTCTAGGGTTTGGAGCAATAGCACAGCGGGTACAGCTTTGCCTTGTGTGCGACTGACCTGGGTTCGGTTTCCAGTATCTCATATTGTCCCTTTGCACTCAGGAGTAATTCCTGAGTGCAAAGCCAGGAGTATTCCCTGTGCATTGCTGGGTGTGACCCCAAAAGAAAAAAAAATGGTCACTAATGGATAAAACTTAGAAGACTTACTCTAGACTAAGAAAGGGAAGGAACGAGGGAAGGAAGGAGTAAGGGAAGTGGGAAGGAAAGAATAAGAAAATGAGGAAAGAAAGGAGGAAGGTCAAGATAGAGAAAAAACAAAGTAAAGTATGATTTTTCAGTGATGGTTTTAATGAAAATAGTTCATACATATTGTTATTCTATAATGCTCATGAGATCACACTTCTTGCATTTTGTTATAATTGTTTCATTGTTCATCTTTATTCAATGCTAAAATTTGTAACATGAATCATGTCTTTCTTGCTTATTATAATTTCTAACACATAATTGGCACAAAGAAATTGTTATGTATCTCCATATCTACCTATTTATAGATAGTCAAAGAATGATATAAATTTTTGTTTAATCATTCCAAAATTGCCTTTCTTTAATAATGGAAAATGTTTGCATAAAATTATATATAAAAGGTAAAAGGTAAAGGCCCTCCCGTTGATCATCGATTTGCTCGAGCGGGCCCAGTAACGTCTCCATTGGAGACTTTGTTGTTACTGTGTTTGGCATATCGAATATGCCAAAATTATATATAGAAGAGGTTTTTTTAAAAGTAAATTTTAGTTCAAGAACTCAAGAAGGCTAAAGAATCAAAATGATGGGATGAACTTTACCACCCCCACTCCAACAACAAACTTCCCAAAGTTTCAACATTTTGAATTTTTTTCATAATAAGAACATTATAAGGGGGCCCAGAAAGATAATACAGGGGATAAGGCACCTGCCTTGCATGCAGCTAAGCCTGGTTTGATTTCCAGCCCTTCATGTGGTCCCCTGAGCAATGAGTAGATGAAGAGGTGCTATTTGTAAGGCCACTGCAATAGTAGGAGAGAGGGTAGCTTAGGTTAAAGTTTATTGTTAGATTATTATTAGATTTAGATTAAGCCATGAAAGAATGTTAAGTTTCAGAATATAGTTAAAACTGGAGTGTGAAAACTTGCTTAATAAAGTCAATATTGGTTTAAGAGGAAGAGACAATTCAACCACGTAACTGGTGGTTGTACTAAGTAACTGTAATATGAATTATGAATGCCCAGAACAGTGCCAAATATATGGTAAGCCCTAATAGCTCAGCTATATCAAGCATGTTGAATATATAGTTGGGTGTTTGATCTGCAACTAAAGGAAGAGGACAGCATTTAGGATGGACCAAGATACGGATGGTATTTTTTTTTATTTGATTTTTGTTGAGCTAACAATGGCTTATAAGTATGAATGCTTATAGTTTTAGGAGTACAGGTGTTACATCATCAGGTTTACCAGCAAAATGACAGTACCCCTTCACTACTATCCACCCATCTAAACGTGCTTGGAAATATCAGTCCTGTTAAGGTTTGCCTTCATCATTGTCTATTCCTTTTGCTTTGTTTCTTTCTATACCATCTATATGTGAGATCACTCATATTTGTCTTTCTCCTTCTGACTTATTTCACTTAACTTAATTTTGATAACCTCTAGTCCCACTTATAGAAAAAGTCACTGTCACTGTCACTGTCTTCCCGTTGTTCATCGATTTTGCTCGAGCAGGCCCAGTAACATTGTGAGACTTGTCACTGTGTTTGGCATATCGAATAGGTCACGGGCAGCTTGCCAGGCTTTGCCGTGCAGGCAAGATACTCTTGGTAGCTTGCTGGGCTCTCCAGAAGGGGTGGAGGCATGCAAGACAAACCCTACCTGCTGTGCTATCGCTTCAGAAAAAGTCAAAATTTCATTTTTCTTTAAAGCTGAGTAATTTATTTTAATTTTTATTGAAGACCCTGTTTTTTCCCATAGAATTTGAACCAGTTTCCAGTCCTATAAACAATGAATGAAGCTTGAGTTTCTTGGTTCCTTTCTCTCTGTAGCTGTGCTGGCACTGGTTAAGTGAAAATGGAAAAGAATTGCCAAGGGCTAAACAGGAACAGTGTGCTTCAGTAGCATGCTGAAAGATCTGTGCTCCTGAGAACCCTGGCTTAGTTTATTTTTGTTAACTGTGTGCCTCCAGCCTGTAATATAGCAGTATCAAGATTTAATGACTCTTTCAGCTTCTTTTCTTTCTTCTTTCTTTCTTTCTTTCTTTCTTTCTTTCTTTCTTTCTTTCTTTCTTTCTTTCTTTCTTTCTTCCTTCCTTCCTTCCTTCCTTCCTTCCTTCCTTCCTTCCTTCCTTCCTTCCATTCTTTCTTCTTTTCGGATCGCACCTGGCAATGCACGGGGGTTACTCCTGACTTTGCACTCAGGAATTACTCCTTACTCCGGCAGTGCTCAGGGGACCATATAGGATGCTGAGAATTGAACCTGGGTTGGCCGCATGTAAAGCAAACTCCCACCTTATCCACTGTACTATCACTCCAGCCCCTGCTTCAGCTTTCAGAGCATGTGCTCAGCCTGTTGAGCTATCTCTCTGGTCCCAGTATTTGGTATTTGAATCCACTGAGCTAGATGAAATCTTTGAGGATGTTAGTTAGCACAGAGCAAGAATGTTGTAGGTTAAACCCTGGGACTCTTCAACATAGATATTGAGAACGCACTAAGAAGCTGGAATGGAGCTATAGCCCAGCGGGTAGGATGTTTTTCTTGGGTGCAACCTACCTGGGTTTGATTCCTCCGCCCCTCTCGGAGAGTCCGGCAAGCTACCAAGAGTATCTTGCCCACATGGCAAAGTGTGGCAAGCTACCCATGACATATTCGATATGCCAAAAACAGCAACAACAAGTCTCACAGTTTGTTATGAGACATTACTGGTGCCCACTCAAGCAAATCAACGAACAATGGGAGGACAGCGCTACTAAGAAGGTTCTACAGAGAAGAGTGAGAGGGAAGGAACCATTAAATTTTAAAAAATTGTGGATCAAGGAGAGTTCTGGAAATTAAAAGAAGAAAGTGTTATTTTTTTAAACACATTTTTTGGGGGAAATCACACTGGCAATGCTCAGCATTACTTTTAGCTCTGCACTTAGGAATCACTCATGATGATTCTTGGGGGACCATATTGGATGCCAGGGATCGAACCTGAGTTGGCCATGTGCAAGGCAAGTGCCTTATCTGCTATACTATCTTCCCCCCAACCAAAGAAGAAAGTGCTTTAAGGTGGGGCTTAGCTAAAATATTTTATTGTTCAGAAACAATGAAATCTATGGCTTACCATTGAAAGTTATGGGCGGCGTTTTAAAGCTCTAGACTTTTTCTTGAAAATTAACTTATATTCTACAACAATACTCATGTTTGAAAGGCTCAGATAATACAATAAATAAGTGAGTTGGAGAAGGACTTGAAAAGAGTCAGAATTTACAAAAAGATTTGTTTTTAAAGCACCTGTACATAAAAAAAAAATAAATCCAGGATTACGATGTCAACCAATTGTCCTTGAATTTTATTTTTCAGGAGAGAGAATGCTGCCCTCTGGAGAGTAGTATTTGGCATCAACAATCTTGACCACCCATCGGCGTTCATGCAGACCCGCCTGGTGAAGACTATCATCCTGCACCCGCGCTACAGTCGAGTGGTGGTGGACTATGACATCAGCATAGTTGAGCTCAGTGAAGACATCAATGAAACAAGCTATGTCAGGCCTGTCTGCTTACCCAGCATGGAGAAGTTGTTAGAGCCTGATACTTACTGCTATATCACAGGCTGGGGACACATGGGCAACAAAAGTAAGCGAAGCCAGGGTCCTCAGGAGCACCCACCTTTAGCATGCTACTGAAGCACACTGTTCCTGCCTAGCCCTTGACAATCCTTTCACATTTTCCCCTAATTCAAGTTTAGCCACTAATGATAAATCATTGGCAACTGTATTCACACTCTCTCTTCTATGCAAATCATAAATGTCAGTATGTCATCATCGTACATAAACCTGCCATGCTCAAAGCTCCTTCTCCACACCTCAGAGTCCTTCTCTTGGGAGCCATTACCAGTGCTTTGGAGCTGTTGTATGAGTCAGATCTTTCCGTGAAATCCCTGCTTTGAATGGTCTGTATTAGTGATTTGCACTGTTTGCAGGCTGCTCCTCAGTAACTTTATCTAGGGGTTAGGCAGTTCGGCTGCTATAGACAGACCCGTTGCATGATTCTATTTCCAATTCTGGTCTTCTGATTTGGTCTTAGTGGCATCTGGTGACACAGTCTATACGTTCTTTCCTTTGAGAAAGAAAACGAATTTGCTATCTTCCTATTTAAATGGATTGAAATAATTTGTCCCGCTAGATAATCTCAACACAGGCATTTGAACAGCTGCACTCCTCGCTATGTCTCTGCAATAGACTGTGCTTGACATGCTCAAGGCTTAGTACAAGAATGCAATTAACACAATCTTCCCGGTGACTGCTTGTCGGCCACTGCAACTAAATGTCCAGCCTCGCAGGCATGTTGTTGTATATTGACATTCTTCTAGCCACCTTTCCCATTGCCAATTTGAAGGATAATTTCTTTTCTTGACCTTTAGTCAGATAAGCTGCTCACTAAGTTGAGTTTCTCTTCTACATGATTGGCTGAGAAAAGAAGAGACAGTTGATTAACAGAAGTCAATGATTCTGGAAAAGCTTGCTGTGAGAACTTCCAAAGCATCTTAGACATGTGTCAGCATTTCTGTCACCCTGATTTTTAAAAGCAACCATTAATATTGCAGTATGATCTATTTGTAATGTACAATATTTTAAGAGCCAAATATATTATCTTTCAACCTGACATTTTTTCCTCCCACACCCCCACATCACACTCCAAGCAATTGCATAAACATACACACTTACTATATATGTCTGCAGTGTGACAAATCAGCGTTGGAATTCATTCTTCGAGAAAACTGGTTTTCTTTATGCCTACTTAAGTGCATTTAATTGGTTTGGTTTCCTAGATTATTTCAACACTTCAACATATACATCACTAACTTGTGTAATTGAGTGACTCTGAATGCACTACTCTAGTTTAGTGGAGTGAATAAAAGAAATTGTTGGTCCCTAGAATTGTGATGAAGGTTAAGGCCAACTAGTCAAGGGAGTGCTAAGTACAGGGGCTGGTACACAGTGAATATGAGGAGTCACCCCAAATACTCCTCTGACATCCGGGAAGCTTCTCCCTCCCTCCCTCCCTCCCTCCCTTCCTTCCTTCCTTCCTTCCTTCCTTCCTTCCTTCCTTCCTTCCTTCCTGCCTGCCTGCCTGCCTGCTTTTTTCTCTCTCTCTTCTTTCTTTCTTTCTTTCTTTCTTTCTTTCTTTCTTTCTTTCTTTCTTTCTTCTTTCTTTGCATCCTTCCTTCCTTCCTTCCTTCCTTCCTTCCTTCCTTCCTTCCTTCCTTCCTTCCTTCCTTCCTTTCCTTCTCTCTTTTGTTTTTGGTTCACATACAGTAATTCTCTGGGTTTACTCCTGGTTTTGCACTCAGGAATTACTACTGGTGGTGCTTGTCGGAACTTAAGGAATGCCAAAGACTGAACCCAAATGAAACCTGGGTCAACTACGTGCAAGGCAAACGCCCTACCTCCTGTACTATCTCTCTGGCCCCCCAACTTGCAAAAATTGCACTACTATTTTCACACTGATTTACAAATAAGAATCTTCCAGTAACAGACAGTATACATACATAATGCTTCACCCTCACCATCTAATAGGAAAAACATGAGTGCTTTTTAGTATGGTTGGCAAACAGAAGATTCATTCTGCCTTGCTTCAGGAAATCAATGGCTATACTCTAAGAATTTACAAGCAACATGGGATTCACACATGCTCTCTGCTGAGAATAAGAGATGAGATGATTTTTACCCTTTCAACATCTCTGTCATATCCTCTAGCATTAAAGCTTCAGACACTCAAACTGTAGACAGCATCCCTTCTTGTCCTTGGGTGAAGAGGGACCGACATCTGGTAGACACAGAGCTGAGAACTCTTGGCTGAGACTCTGGCAGGATTTTCTTCTTTTCCTTGCTGTCATCATTGTTTTTGATGCACCATCTAACAAAAGCAAGGAAGTAAGGGCCAAGGCTTATGAATTAACTGCTTAAACAAGCTGTGCCTCTGTTTTCTCAATAAATAAAAGGGTTTGATGAGGTTGCTGCTCTGATCATTTCTAATTGGCAATATCTGACTTCAGACAAACCCTATCTTTAAAGTGACATTTTAAAGAAAGCCTCTGATTGATTCTCTACTACAAAATATAATAATTTTATATATAACTTCATTCTCCGCCCCCCTGCCCCCACCAACCTGACTTTCCTTGTATGTTTTATTTTCTCCCTTAAACAACAACATCTACTCCAGTGCCATTTAAGCTACAAGAGGGAGAAGTCCGCATTATTTCTCTGGAGCAGTGTCAGTCATACTTTGACATGAAGACCATCACCACCCGGATGATATGTGCTGGTTACGAGTCTGGCACGGTCGACTCCTGCATGGTGAGCTGGGTATTGAGGAGATTCTCTCTGACTACAGCTTCTTTATAAACTCCAGAGCATTCACCCATGGCCTTCTGGGAGCTTGCTGTTTAGTGTTGTGGGAGCTGCTGCTTTGGGCTGTGCTTTAGACCAGGTGGCGGGGTGTCATGTAGTGCTGGAACTTGCCTGTTCACATCATGTGCTCTATCCCCAATCCCCCTTTTTTGAATATTATTTATTAGCAAATGTTTAATTATCAGAGTGTTTTCTTTTTGTATCAATTTCCAGCTGATTTCCCCTAATTCCCCCTAAGACCCACCGTTTGCTTCTTTACTTTGTGGGGAGCAACAACAAGAGAGCACCCCAGGATGGGAACTCAGTGTTCTGGCATAGGAAGATGGTTCAAACGGTGGAGTACATGTCTAGCATGTTCAAGGTCCCAAGTTTGATCCCTAGCCCCCTAAACACCACCAGATGAGTGCTGGTAATACCTGAGCACCACTGGGTATAATCCTAGTAACCCCAAGCATCATTGGGACAAACATCAAACCACTAGGCCTGTGTTGAGCTCCAGCAATCCCTATTCCAAACTTTCTAATCCTGGGGCTGGAGAGAGAGTTCTGCGCAAGGGCACTTGTCTTGCATGCAACCAACCTGGATTTGATCCTCTGGCATCCCATATCATCCCTCAAGCATGTCCAGAAGTAATTCCTGAGCATTGTCAGGTGTGGCCCAAATAAGTACTGTAGCACTGTAGCATTGTCCTCCTGTTGTTCATTGACTTGCTTGAACGGGCATCCGGGCACCCGTAACATCTCCATTGTGAGACTTGTTGTTACTGTTTTGGGCATATCAAATACACCACGGGGAGCTTTCCAGGCCCTGCTGTGCGGGTGGGAAACTCTAGGTGGTTTGCTGGGCTCTCTGAGAGGGACAGAAGAACCAAACCTGGGTTGGCCACATGCAAGGCAAACGCCCTGCTCGCTGTGCTATCACTCCCAAGCAAAATACAAATTAAAGTTTTTCTGGTTTATCTCACTTGAATGGAGGGCAAATAGGTTTCTAAGAAAAGCTAGTATTAGGAACCATGGGTTTAAGAGACTAACCCAGGAAGCCAGAGGACACTAAAGGAGATTTATTTGATTTCTTTTCAGCCACCAGGGGATTACCTACAATGTCCCAACTTCCAGAGTATGTGACTGAACAGCCTTGGTTTCAGGAGTTGATCACACAGGCACTGCCTATGACACACTTAATTGCCATTTTGATCTCCAGGATCACCAAATGCGCCTTTAGATGCACTGGATTGCTGGTTACAGCAGTGCTCAATGCTTGCTGGCTTAAAACACAGGAAAGCATTTTTGCTTTGATTTAATAAGCATTCACTAGATATTATACAGCACTTTCAGGAAAGGAAACAAAGGCACAGTATCAAAGATGCTCATATCTAAATGAGAGCAGTCTTCAATAATCTGTCTTGTTCGACATCATTGTTTTATAGTAAGGCGATGAAGAATGAAAAGAACACTCACCAGCACTGAATGCAGTGACCTGATTAGAAGAAACACTGCTTATCCATCATTTCACGTAAAGTTGCCAGGGATTGGTAGTGTTAAGTATGGGCTTTGCCACATTGCTATGAAGCACCTTTCACTGCTTTAGAGTAGATCAAATAGTTTTTCTCATTTTAGAATTGAAGAAATGCAAGAATATATATATATACACATATATATACATATATATAATTTCAACATACCATAATCCCCTCCCCCCAATTTTTTGATGTTTGTACACCCTTAGCAATTCTTAGGGTTTATTGCTAGATTTGGATCTGCGCTCAAAGATTACTCTTGGAAGGGTTCAGGGGACTATAGGTGGTGCCAGGGATTGAATCTGGGTCTGCTGTATGGAAGGGAAGTGCTAAAACCTAACTGTACTATATGTATGTCTCCACAGTTCTTTTGTTTTGTTTTGGGGGTTGGGTTGGGCTTTGGGGCCACACCTGGCAGTACTCAGGGCTTGCTTCTGGCTCTGCAATCAGGAATCACTCCTGGCAGGCTCAGGGGTATGCTGGGGATTGAACCCAGATTGGCCTCCTATACTATCTCTCCAGCCCTACCACAAAGCTGGTTTTGATGGTCCATTTCAGAATGGATGATTCAAGAAGATTGGAAATAGCCTCAGGGGATTCCGCAAATAGTTGTCATAGGTAGGAGGGAGGCAGAGGGCTTAGAATCTCACTGAGGTCATCTTGCCTTTGCCTCCTAGTGGGCAGTGGAAGAGGAATTTATGCAGGGGTCACAGGTTTGCTTTTGCAGGTCAATAAAAATGTGTTGGGAAGCCACATGAATACAGCTTGGGATATTTGTAGGCTGAACAGTCTGGTCAGGATCCCCTCTCTGCCACTGATAGTTTTTGGTCTCCAAATGTTTTTATAATAATTCATTATATCTTTTCAGGCACCCGTGGTGGAAGGTATACTTGTTTTTCCTATTTTCCAGATTGAAAAATGAGGGTCTAGAAAGGTTGAGTAATTTCTCCTCTATCACCCAGCATAAAGGTGCTGCCATCTTCATGAGGCTATGAGGGATTAGGTGGTCTCACACGGCAACACAAATCCAGCCAGCCACTCAGCCTCTTCCTTATCCGAATAGCATTGATTAATGTGAATACAATTTTCCCCAACATGATTTGGAGGTCTGCTAAAAACTAGTGCCTCTCATCTTTTGGTAATTACTAAGGGAATGGGTAGGAGGTTATTCCTTCAAAAAGGATTCAAAGGCTGTGGGGATAGTACAACTGGTACTGCTAATGCTTAACACATGCAGGGCTTGAGTTTGATTTCCAGCACCTGGACCCATATGACTCTCCCCCACCCTTATACCCTGTTGGACATAGCCCTGATGACCCCCAAAAAACAAAGCTCCAGTCCAAGAAAAAAATAGAATTGAAGTTCCAAGCATAGGTCCATTTGATTTCCCATGTCCAACAGGTCATACTAGGCAGAGGGAATTCATTGCTCTGGGTCTCTTGAATGCATACCAGATGTTCTCAAGTTCTCTAAGAATATCACAGAAAAAAGGAACTATAAAAATTGCTTTGTGGGGGGCTGGAGTGATAGCGCAGCAGGTAGGGCATTTGCCTTGCATGCGGCCAACCCGGGTTCGATTCCCAGCATCCCATATAGTCCCCCGGGCACCGCCAGGGGTAATTCCTGAGTGCATGAGCCAGAGGTAACCCCTGTGCATCGCCAGGTGTGACCCAAAAAGCCAAAAAAATAGCTTTTTTCCCTTACATTAAAATTTTGTTCCAGACCCATCATTTTCTTTCTACAGCACATCACACCAAAAGCTGTACATAACTATGTTTTCAGAAATCTTGGGGATCAATACAGAAGCCAAAATCAATGTTGACCTCAACACTGATGCAGGAAGAGGCAGAGTAACAAAACGGTAGACTGATAACGTGTGCCTGAAGTTATGATCTCCATTTTATTTTGAATTGACTGTTTCTTTATCTCTCATTGTCACCAAACAAATGCTCACCTGCCTCTCGGATCCTAACTTTCATGTCGCAGGAAGGAGATGTTTGATCCTCTCCAGCCGTGCTCACTTGGAAACAATTCCTTTGAAGACTCCTTTATTTACTGTCCTAAGATTTTGCTTTTCTTTATAGATATTTTTGTTACCCAAGCTTTTGCTTTCTTTATCTCTGTAGCTCCCACCTCAGAATCTTGCAAAGACCCCATGCTAAATAATGATGTCATTCAATTTTTTATGTGAAATGAGAAGGGCCTTGTAAACTTGTTCCATTTTGATCACTCTTTGGCATAAGGAATATCTCTGCCTGAATAAGGCATCATCTTAAAACTTATTTTTTATAAAGAGAGGAGAAAATATTTTAGGAATACATCTGGTTAAAAAAAGTTTCCCTTTGGTACATTTACACAATGGAGTAGTATTTAGCTGTTAGAAAAGATCAAGTCATGAAATTCACATACAAGTGGTACTACATGAAAAGTATCATGTTAAGCGAAATGAGTCAGAAAGAGCGGGATAGACACAGAAAGATTGCATTCATCTGGGGGAACATACAGCAACAAAATGGGTGACTAACACCAAGGAGTGGCCGAGATTAGTACCAGGAATTTTGCTCCATGACTTGGAGGCCAGCCACACATGCTAGGGGAAAAGGGAGCTCAGATAGAGAAGGGAGCACCAAATAAAGGGTGTTGGGAGGATCTTCCCAGGGTGGAAGAAGCGTGCTGAAAGTAGACTATAGACCAAACATGATTGCCACTCAATGCCTCTCTTGCAAAACACATGACCCAAAAGAAGAGAGAGAGAGAACAAGGGGGAATGCCCTGCCACAGAAGCAGGGTGGGATGGGGGAGGATGGGGGATGGGAGGGATGCTGGGACCTATGGTGATGGAGGATGGGCGCTGGTGGAGGGATGGGTACTTGATCATTGTATAACTGAAACCCAAGCACAAAAATTTGTAAGTCTATAACTGTGCCTCATGGTGTTTCACTAATTAAAAAAAAAGTTTCCACTAAATTTTGCTTTCAAAAAGTTCCGTTAGGTTTTAGGGCAGAACAATTCCCTTAGTCCCTGGTAGCTGAAAGTCTGTGTGGATTTTTCAGGCTTGTGATATTATAGATTATACATATAAAGATCACCTTTGCCACAGTAGCCTGGAGCACAAAAGAGTATTCCCATATCCTCTAACAATTGTAGGGAGGGAACCTCGTAGTTAAAGAACTGGTATTGTGCTACCAGACTTAAATTCTACCTTTGCCTGTGAACAATTTTTCGAACAATTTTTTATCTTCTTCAAAATGGAAATAATTGTAATTATATTAATATTCTCAACATGGAAGGATTAATTGAGCGGGCAGCGGGCAGTGCTTAGTTAATATGACTCTCAAATATCTCCAAATGGAAAGCCCAGGAATAACTAATAGGTGACAAACAATGGCATTTTGTTGAAAAAGAAAAAAGAATTTCACCTAACATTGAATGAAACGTTATCTGAGAATATGGCTTTAGTATATGTCATTTCAATTTACGATGGTTTCTAAGAACGTATCAGTCAAATTAAGACCTTAATTACCAAGTTTAAAATTAATGCAGGAAAAAGAATATTTCCACCATGAACTGAAATATTTCCATATTTTCTATAATCGGAAAATACGGAGATTTTTACATTACAGAAAATAATCTAAAGCCTTTTAGAATATAGTCTTTTGGAGACTTTTGAAGCCTTTTTGAAGCCTTTCAGAATATACTCTCTAATCCAGTTTTTCAACTAGGGGCCATGTGGTCTCCTGTCAACCCTTAGGATATCCAAGGGACCACAGATGAAAAAAATCACATAAATGGGTGGGCATGGCATAAGACTCAGGGGCCAATTTGTAAAAAAAGCAGGGGGGGGAGGGCAGGAAAGAAACAAGGTCAAAAGGGAGTCATGGTTGGAAAAATATTGAGAAACACCGCTCTAACTTAATCTCTCTCTCTTCTTTTTTTTGAGATATAGCATTGACGTCTAGCAAATGATAGTTCTACTTTTGTAGGCAAAATAATAAGTAATACTCAAGTACAATTCCACAACATAGATTTCAAGGATAAAAATCTCTGCATATGAGATAAAATATAGATTATATAAATGAAATATCTTACTAGAACTAAGTGATACGTGATCTTTTCTCTGAAGTATGTTAGTTATGAGTCATACAAAGTCAGGAAATGCAGTATATGTTTTTTACATGATGCATTCATTCAAGTAGCAAGAACTTTATAAGAAGAGATTTATTTAGGATATTTTTCTAGGAGACCTGGCAGGTGTGTCAAGGGGTTGAAGCACAAACTTTGCATGTGGGAGACACTAGTTCAATCCCTAAAACCACATGGTCCCTGTGAAACACCAAGTATACTCTTCACCTCCCTCAAAAAGAATATTTTTGTAGTATTGTTTAATGGGTAGAAGCAATCTTTTTTCCATTTTGGCAAAATTTGGTCAAAAGTTAATGGATTTATAAAATGAATCAAAGTTAATGAATTCAATTATTTAAAAAAAATCAATTCTGCTACATAAAAAATGAATGATAACTAAATGCAAAAAATGTCTTCAGATTCCACAGAAAGAAAGAATATTGTCTTTACACCAGACTTTCACACTTTAGATGATCAGTTTTGAATGTCCCCTGGAAAGTTACATCTGTATAGTGACAAGCACTGTCCCCACATAAGCTACAAAGGAAAGCTGGGGTGAAATTTTCCAGTTTGTGGCTTGAGTGGGGATTGGCTTTTTTGTACCCTTGGAACAACACAGAGCCCTTGCACTCTGAAACAGCAATGACTAACACCCACCACTGTTCATTTCAGGGCGACAGCGGTGGACCACTTGTTTGCGAACAGCCTCGGGGACAGTGGACATTGTTTGGTTTAACTTCATGGGGCTCCATCTGCTTTTCCAAAGTCCTGGGGCCTGGAGTTTATAGCAATGTGTCATACTTCCTCGAATGGATCCAAAGGCAAATATACATCCATACCTTTTTCCTAAATTAATTCTAAAGATCACCGGAGACATTTGCCGGCTATACTCAAAGTAAATGGCCTTCTCGACTATGGAGCGCATCCTGCAGAGTTATACAGAAGCTCTTTATAGGGAACAGAGCTGCTCACCCGCGCGCTGCAAATGTTCATGTTTGTTTTGGTCTAATTTTATTCAACTCTGTCCCTCAACTTTATATTCCTCTTATTTTCTGTTCAGTGAAAGTGAGAAAAAAATCAAAACAGTGCTTGTTCTTTTGCCAGATCTAATCTTGGCTGTAGAATAAAATGATCAACTCTGGAGAGAGTTTGACAACGGCAGGCACTCAGGTAACAAGGTATAGAAAATTCTCTTTTATCTGATCAGAAAAAGGACACTGAGATTCAGGCTCACTCATCTTTGGCAGCTTATCTTTTTCCAGCAAAATAAAGTGGTGACACATTTCAATATCATTGCAGATTTGCTTTGATTTTTTTTAAAAAGTACAAGCTAATTTACATGTTCAAATGATTTACTAGCACTCTTCAAAAGTTTGCATAAGCTAAATAACTTCTGAGCGGAGGTCAGAGGTAAAAAGCCACGCTGCTTCTATTTAGGGAGCTAAAATAGTAAGACATAAATACAAAACACTTTAGACTTCAACAATTAGCAAATGATGTTATAGGACTACCCATGCTGAATTTAAATCAGGATCATAATTTTATAGAAAATTCTTCATGCAACTTTTTTTATAATTAGGTTTTGTTTATTGATTATCAACTAGAAGACCGAGACAGCCACAACAAAGAAATACCTGTGGGATATATTTTGTTCTGCCTACAAGATTATTAGAGATGAGATTAAATTTTACAAAGAAGAATTTGTAGTAGACTCAAGAGATGAAATAAAAAAATTAATTGTACCATGGCCTCAATGAAATATTTTTTATTTTTCCTATTTGTCATATCAATAAAGTCATAGACATGTATCTTAAACCATCTTAAGATTTTGCATGGAGTACAAGATTTTGCAATTTTTTTCCTTGAAAAATTTTACAATATCTTTGAAGCAATGGTAATTACCATATCTTCCCTTGATAAGTGTGCTTTAAAAAAATGCTTTTAAGTGGGTCTGGAACCATAGTTCTGTGGGTAGGGTGTTTGCCTTGTACCTGGCCAACTCTGGCTTGATCCCTGGCATCCCATATGGTCCCGTGAACACCTCCAGGGGTAATTCCTGAGTGCAGAGCAAGGAGTAACCCCTGAGCATCGCTGTGTGTGACTTCAAAAGCCAATAAATATATTTTTTTTAAAAAAATGCTTTTAAGCTCCTGGACACTTTTCACACAACAGTTTCTGAAGTAATTAGTGGTGAAACTCTTTTTACCCACTAAGTCTTCAAAACATGAATCTTCACACATACTAATTTAATTAGCCAGGTGCTCTTTTTTGTAAATGCCTTTGAACAAGTAGGTTGCCTACTAACCACCAGCATCTTGGATTGCCTCAGCTCCTCAGAGCCTACCTGCAATTTCATACATGTATTTTTGTACTCTTTTCTATATATATTCATACTTGAAATGCAAAACGTTGTCATGACACTTTGCATGTTATTTATCTCCTGTTCTGTAGTTTTTATGAACTGTTGAGAATGTGAAATCCAGCAATTAAATTGTGATTACAACTGTATGAAATTTTAAGAACAAATGTCATTTTGTACTTAAGGTAACAACTTTTAGCTTGGCTCGATTTATGTTCAGTGATATGTACATATTGAACTTATTTTCAGTAGCTCTGATCACAAATAAAATTATGTCACTTTATGTTTTGTTTGGATGACCCCGGAGCATGTTCCAGAAAAGCAATCACTATCACTATCACTATCACCCTGTTGTTCATCGATTTGCTCACGTAGGTGTCAGTAACATCTCCATTCGTCCCTGTGTAGCTAGTGTAGCCTGATGGCATATTGGGAGTCTTTCAGGGTCAGGGGAATGAGGACCATCATTGTTACTGTTTTTGGCATATCGAGTACGCCACAGGTAGCTTGCCAGGTTCTGCCGTGCAGGCGGGATACTCTCGGTAGCTTGCCAGGCTCTCCTAGAGAGATGGAGGCTTTTGGGGAAGTCTCTAATCACCTTTACAGGTGTTCCCGTCAGGCATGTATGTGGGCAAGGTACTCCCAGCAGCCTGCCGGGTTCTCTGAGAGTGAGAATTAGAGAAAAAGTCTTGTGGCTGCGAATGCCAGAAAAACAAGTTTCAGAAAAATTGGTTCCCACTATAAAAGTTGGCATCATCAATCAAAATTTTTCTGATTATCTCTCACTTATACTCTTTTAAAAAATTCTGATGATAGATGACTCTTTGACATTCTGAAAAGTTGCTAATACCTTCAAATGATCTGGTGAGTGTCTAAGAAAAATGTTACACCTTTAAAAGTTCAGAGATGTGTACCTGAGTACATTTTGGGAATCTTATCCAATTCTTTTATCTTTTAGGGAAAAATTACATTTTTAAAGAATAATTATATAATACTTGGTCCCCAAATTTGATAAATGTGGGCTTTTTTTTTTTTTTTGGAGAGAGAACAGGGAGGGATCAGGTGGATCACACCTGGCAATGCTTAGAGGCTATTCCTTTCAGTGATGAGAAGTGACTCCTAGTGGAACCAGGTGCAGTGCTGGGGATTGAATCAGGGTTGGCCACATGCAAGACAAGTGCCTTAACCCCTGTACTATCTCTCAAGCCTCTTATAAAATGTATTGAACTCCCAAAGACAAAAGATCATCTTGGACAATGTTCTGTAGAAGAGGTATTCATTTATAAATTAAATACTTAAAGGATTAATCCTGATTCTAAGTCTCTTTCACTTGAGGTGTAGATGTGTTTAAGAATCTGGATTTTTTTTCTCTCTCTCTCTCTCTTTCTTTCTTTCTTTTTCCTTCCTTCCTTCTTCTTTCTTTCTTTCTTTCTTTCTTTCTTTCTTTCTTTCTAGGGGGAGGGATACACCTGGCAATGCTCAGGGGTTACTCTACTCAGGAATTCCTTCTGATGGGGCTCAGTAGACCATATGGAAAGCCAGGGATTAAACCTGGGCTGGCTATGTGCAAGGCAAATGTCCTACCTACTGTACTATCTCTCTGGCCCTGAGAATCTGGATTTTTTTCAAAAATTTAAAATAAGATATATCTTATGCAGCAATAAAAATGCAAATACAAAAATATACTTTCAGCAAAGTACATGAAGATTATATAAGATTATATAATACCTTCCCATTAATTCAAGGCACAAAATTTATAACTAACTTATGAAACATTTCAGTTTTCAGAGACACTGGGACTTGAAATATAAATAAGATATAGTGGCTCTCACAGACTTAATTTATATAAGCTGATACTTTCACCTCTTGAAGATCAGCCTTTTTTTTTGTTTGTTTTGCTTTTTGGGTCTGGAGCGATAGCACAGTGAGTAGGGCATTTGCCTTGCACACAGCTGACCTGGCCAACCTGAGTTCGATTCCTCCACCCCTCTAGGAGAGCCCGGCAAGCTACTGAGAGTATATCACCCGCAGGGCAAAACCTGGCAAGCTACCCATGACATATTCGATATGCCAAACACAGTAACAACAAGTCTCATGATGGAAACATTACTGGGCCCACTCAAGCAAATCGATGAACAACGGGAGGACAGTGCTATAGTGCTACAGCGCTTTTGGGGTCATACCCAGCAATGCACAGGGGTTATCCAGGGTTTACTCCTGATTCTGGACTCAGGAATTACTCCTGGTGGTGCTTGGGGGACCATATGGGATGCTGGGGATCGAATCTGGGTCAGCCGTGTGCAAGGCAAATACCCTCCTTGCTGTACTATCGTTCCAGCCCCAAGATCAACCAATTCTTATCCTCTTTTGACTCATTAAAAAAATCCATCAATTCTAGTCTGAGTTATATCCCGACATTTGTATTTATTAGTAGACGCAGATCTGAGGGAATGATGCTAGTTGTTAGGTGTGTTATAGATGACAGGACATCACTGTTTTTTCCATATCAGAAAGACCCAAACAATCCTCTGGTTAAACATGTACTTTGGAATTTTATGTTTAAGTTATTGAGTTGGATTCAGTGAGTAGCTTCAGGAATGAAGACAGTTGTCCAGATTATGTTATTTATTAAACAGTTTATTTAAAAAATCATAAGGAAGCACAGAGCAACTTCCATTAACTATGTGGTAATTTAAAAGTTCTAGAAATAATGGTCTCTATAAAAGACTATTTGCAATAATATGAGAAGACTACAAAAATTGCCAGCTTGGGACTGGAGGCAATGGGGAGATTAAGCCCTGAGAATAATAGTTTAATAGTCAATAAGATCTTGATACAGACATGAAACATTAGCATGGAGATTTCATGAAGAATATTCTGGGTAATAGCTGACACATAATTTTCAGATGAATAGATATGGAATTTTAAGAGAACTTAATAAGAACACATGATCTTATAATAGCACCTGGTCTCACTTGGTATTAAGTCATTTATTTTATTTTACCTAAAGCCAGTATACATGATCTGTAATAGCCACAAACTTGCTATAGGCATCCCTGTCCTAAAATTCATTAAATTTAGTTTCTCCTAAGAACCTTTTGGAATCCTACTGAGAAATTCTTCTATTCATCTCAATTCATAAATATCTCATTTTTTTAGAATGTAAAACACCAGAGAAGTTACAAGACGTTGTAAAGACATCAAACTCTCAAACGGTCTCCTCAAGATTGTTTGGGGATGGATTGTCTCATTCTGATCAGACTATTGTCAGTTTTAGAAAAAAGGACATTTTCAGGTAAACTCTAGCCTTAGTGGATCCAGTCTGCTTTGCCTAAGGCCTGTTTCCCAGTCCCAACATGGCCCAGAGGCCAACCTTCTTTCAAACCTCCCTAAGAGCTAAGAGGAATCAGTTACACTGGAGGAACCTTGGCTCTCCATCCTTGCATTCCACAACCAAGATCCCACCTCAGGAAACATGGCAATAAATTGAGACAGTTGCCTGCCATCTTTCACTAGAAGACCGAAGTCTTCTTCCCACAGGAAATATAAAACTATTCATAATTACTAACTACATTTAAGTAGCATAATTATCACCCTTGTGTAGGTAAACATTGTTATCTAGAAGGCTCTTGAGACTTTTTTCCTCTGGAAGTCAACTATTGATAACTTAAAAAAATAATCATTTCTCAGTTCAAACATTCTAAAAAACACTTTCTTAATTAAAAAAAAAATTTACCTTCAAATTAAAGTCTGCTCAAGTTAAAGCATTTTCCTGGAACTGAAAATCTCCTCGTAAAATAAATATAATTCAAATAAATCACCTTGAAAAATGTTTGTACTCTAAGACAAGTAAAATGCTTTCACAAAATCCAAAAAGTTTCATAAAAGCATTTGCTTCTGAATTAAATATTTCACTTCCCTATACTTTTTCAGGTCAAATGATCCCGTCTTTCACAAACACAGCTACAAACACACAGTAAAGGTCATCACAGGGGCTTTTCCAAGCCCAGGAAATTGTCATCCTCTCTTCCTTCAGGGAACAAATGCAAGTCCTTGTGACTTGTTCAAGGCATCTCTTCAAATTCTCTGTTCCAGACTCAAAGGCACACTCGCGTCCTTGGGGATCCAGCCATGATCACGAGCAGTCCAGGTTGAGAGCCGTTTCACAGTCAGGGATGTTGCCTTCCTCAGTGGCACAGGCGGTTGCTGACATCATTGCAAAGGCAGCAGGAGATTCAGTCATGGGCTTTTGTTTCGATGTGACTAGGGGCTGGTCAGCATGCGTAGAGGTCATGGGACCCACATTTCCAGCTCCTCTCCACTTCTTGAATGCTTCGCTCCTTGCCTCTGGAGTCAGTCTGTCCAAGTGTTGAGCCTTCAGAATTGGTGTTGGAAACAGAGACCCCTGGAGAACTCGGTATATAAACCTGGTAATATAAAACGCATCACAGATTTACAAAGAGCTCAAGGGACTTGTCAGACAACATACCAAAAAACTCACCAGTGAGAAAAAGTAAAAGGAGCTGGTGGCCATTGGCCTCTGTAAGGGAAGGGGGGAGGATAAGCAAAGTATAAAAAGGAGAAAATAATATAGATTAATTTCTATAGAGCACTTAGAAGATAGTGAGCCTCTTTAACAGGGCTCATTAAAAAATGAACATTAATCAAAATATATAATCTGGTGATGTCATAGTATGAGAGGATTAATATGTATAGATATGCATAAAGCAGGCAGTGCTGACACATAGGAAGCATTAAAAATATTGGCTATCAGTTCTTTTGGTTTGTTTATTTTTGGAGGCACACTCAGCAGTGCTCAGCAGCTATTTCCAGCTCAGTGCTTGCTCCCCGCAGTACTCAGGGAGTCATACAGTACCAGGAAAAGAACCTCAGCCTTCTGTAGGCAAAATATGTGCTCAGAACATGGGGCTATCTCTTTGCTAGGTCCTCTAATGGGGACTGGTTAAAAAATTACCTCATTCCAAATGGCAATATTTATGCTGCGATGGTATTCTCAAAAACTTTGTGGGTGTCCAATAACTGTCACAGGGATTAAAGCCATTGGAAATATGTTTGTTTCACATACCTGTTCTGCACAATTCCATCTCCTTTCATGGTGGCTACTGAGATGGTTGAGGACATTCCTGAGTTACTAATTCCCTTTAGCACTAGCAAAACCCATTTGCTAGACAGTAACACTCTTGGACTTCTCTCTAGACCAGTGTTTCCCAACATGGGCAATATCACCCCCCTGCAAATCTTTGGAGTGGTCCCAGAAGGTGG